ACGAGAGATAATTCTCCGGTTCAAGAAGGTGTGCTCGAATGTGACGTCTCCGTTGATGGTATTGGGTGCAAAGAAACATTCTACCTCAAAAACTGCCCGAATTTTAACCTACTTGGTCTTCACTCGTCCAAGAAATGCCTTATGAAAATGTCTTTGTACTGTGCTTGTAATACAGTGCAGTCATCACGACATGGTTCCGTCAAATCGCATCAGCTAAATGCATACTGACTTCCAACTTGCAAGGGACATTTATCGCTGTTTCTCACGGCGGTCTTAGTTGCTTCACCTCCCACGCATTGGAGAGGAGAGTTTGTGAATAATGCCGCCAATGAAAACGGTGTGGAATACAGAATGCATTGAAATGCCACAGAGTAAGCGATCGAGCACACCAGCGTGTTGACCAGACGTTTACAGCACTCCGAGCATAAAAAATACGGCATTAAGCATGATATTTATAACTTCATCAATCCGCAGAAATGCCCTGTTCATGAATAACATTCGGTTGAGTCAGCGGAGATAACAGCGTAAGCATAAGCGCACATCTTTGGAGAAGAAACATTTGTTTTTTGAACCACCAGAGACTCATCGGCTAATTCGGTTGAAAGATTTCTTCGCGCCACAGCTTTAAGGACGGCTTTTGGAGAGGAAATGTAGGCGAATTTAGACCAATGTGTGCCGTAGATCAACATGATTCGTGTTGATTAAATCTATCTGTGAACTATTGAATTAGGTTGGATAGAAAAATTACATTTTAGCTCTTATTCTTGTAAATAGGATACGGAGCGGTAATGACTGGAAGGGCGACAATTCCTTCTGCACAGCGTCAATTTCTGTCAGTGAATGTCATTTAATTCGTCGTTAGCTAGCATACAAAATAGCATTGATACCTGGAGGAAGTCATATAATGGAGGCGGTAGTGACAATTCATTATTAATAAGCTTGTTGTAAGTGCTACGTATTACAGATGCACTGCTGCACTTCGATTGCAAAGCCGGAAATGATCAATCTATTTACCCCTGTCTTTGTCAGATATCACGTTCGGCACTACCACTCGTTGTGCGACCGTCTGTTCAGCTCCAAATTGAGAACAAAGGCAAAACAAGACCAGTAGATCCCGTTAACTGATCACTGAAGGTCCTTACAATATACGCAATATTTCCCATGGAAGACAGCAGGACAAGGGGTCCGTGGCTCAACTGGTACAGCGATCGGCTTAATGACCAAAAATCATCTTTCGAATCCAGGTCGCATGTCCTGTATCCTGATTGGTGAGCGCCACTCTATTATAATTAATCTTCTCAATAATAAATGGCGAAGCAGCGGGCCTGTGACTCAATAGTAGAGGATTATACTCAATGACCAAATGTCTCGGGCACCAATCTCGTGTAAATCAACTTGTGACTCGTCATTGTCGATAATCTGGTTCATTACAGCTGCCTCTGATTTTACAATTACAATCTAGCTTCCAGCACTCTGCTCTTATGGAGTGTCTACCTATTTCGTCTGGGTAATCCAATACAATCGAATACGCAGTTTAATGCACTTTCTCTCAGATCAGTGGACCCCTCGTCGAGGCGCCTCCGGACATTGATGAATGTCCATTGTCGTTGAAGCTCTCCCCTCCTCCTGCTGAAGTCCTGACCGAATATTGCTGGAAGCTTGCGAAAATCTGGTTGTGGACCACGATCTCCACCGTGGCACTGCAGCACTCATTTAATTTTCTGCCAGTTTCAGACACGTCACCGGAGCGTTTCGCTGGTGATCGTTTATTAAAGCTGTCTACTCCGTCACTTTACAACATCTAGCACCGTTATATTTCACGCCCAACACGCAAAAGGACATTGCTGAGTATCCATTGCCGCGAGTTTAATCACATTTGGAACTTGTGCAGTCTGTTTATTGCATCGGAGTCGGTGGATTCCATACACTCCAGTATGCTGGGCGAGTAAATTTACCCAAGTGTGATAAGGCTCATTGATCCTGGGGGTACGTCGTAGTGCAGGTGGTTGGAGCGTTGGCTGAACTTTAGCCTCGCTCATGCTGCCATTGTTTTGAGTCCCATTGGGTTTGTCGAGTTTTTCACATACGGGTAAACCGTATAAGCACCCACTAAACTACATATTGCTGTGCTTGACGTACTTAATCACAGTTGTCCATTGACGAAATACCACGCGTTCCTGAATCTGCAAGAAGACATTGCAGAAAATGTGTATTTGGTGAATGCAGTATCGAAGGAACATGTTTAAATCCAAAATAGATGTGCGGACATAGAACGGAGGCCTGATTCTTGAGTTCCATCAAAAACGTTGTCTCCACATTGTATATTCAAAGAACGTGTATGTCGCGGTTTAAAAAAACATTTGCAAGTATTAACGTTTTTTATACTATGCATTGTTCATCCAGAAATTATCGGCTATGCAAGTTTTTTTAATGCGTTTTTCCTTTCCCCGAAACGCAAAAGGACATTGCTGAGTATCCATTGCCGCGAATTTAATCACATTTGGAACTTGTGCAGTCTGATTATCGCATCAGATTTGGTGGCTTCCGTACACTGCAGTGTGCTGGGCGAGTAAATGTACCCAAGCGTAATTAAGTTCACTGATCCTTGTGGGACGTCGTAGTTCAGGTGGCTAGAGCGTTGACCGACCTTCAGCCTTGTTCTTGCTATCGTCGTTTCGAGTCCCCTTGAGGTTGCCGAATTTTTCACATCTGAGGCAACCGTCAAATCACCCAATAAATTACATATTGTCTTGTTTTTCATGTTAAATCAGGTAAAGTTGAATAATCACTGAGAATACAAGGCCATAAATGTATTCCAGCAAAGGAAAAAAAACGTTGTACAGTTACGCAAACGGCACGCGTTCCTAGAAGTAAATCTGAAGAAGAGCAATGCCGAATTATTTTTGGTGAATGCAATACCGAGGAAACATGTTTTAATTCAATACTGAAGTGCCCACTTGGAACGGAGTCTTGAGTCTTGAGTTGCATCACAAACGTTGTCTCCGCATTGTATATTCGAAGAACGTGTATGTTGCGGCTTATAAAAACATTCAAACGTATTGAAGGTTTTTATACTATGCATTGTTCATCCAGATATCATCACGTGTGCAAGTTGTTTAATGCCTATCGGGAATTCGATAAAGTTTGCTGCATTTAATGCACATTTGAACTCTGTTTGATTTCTCCTCAATGTCATTCGAAACGCAAAATAAAAAGTTCTGTTAGTTTGAAGTTTCGATTTAAAATTCAATATTGAGTGATTTTCGAATTACTTAATCCCTATGCACGGAAGTGACATGTTGATCATTGAAATACCCGCCGTATATGTGAAATCGGAACTATAGGGATATTCATGTTGCATTTACTCAGAGAAATCACCAGATTTCAGGGGCATTTGGAAGCAGAAACGAGAAATTTAGTACAACAGTGCCTTTATGGCCAATTGACGCCGAGTTGCCATACTCGTATTTCACAGGGCTTTTAGTGGCGGTCCAAATTCAGAAAACGACCGTTTAGATCTGGCTTAAAACACTTAAGTAACACCTGGTGTTTAAAAACTGTGCATCTGTGGTAGGATTAAAATGAAAAATAAGGCCCTCCAGGTGTCATATAACTTTGTCAGATTGGACCCCAAATATGCCTATCTGTGTGTATTAAGGCTTTCAAGCCACACGTAATTTCTCTGTCCTCATCACTTTCCTACCACTAAGTCGTGTGGAGTCAAACTGACATTTTGCAGTCGGTCAATGCGAAGCGTGCATAAACTGTTTTGCATTGGTGCAGACGTCGGATAGTCGAAAATCCTCCGTCTCGGAGGCTGTCAGTTGCCTTTACACTCCGCTTGGAGTTTGAGTGCATTGAAAGCAACCACCATGTCCAATCAACGCCCCCTTGGACAAGACTGCAGTAGTTAATGGCTCGTGTGAGTTGGCCAATTAAGACTTGCAAACCCAGCTTTAGCTGTGTGGATAGATCCGATTTTTAAGGGATTCAACGGACAACATCGGGGTAAAGTTTGTATATGCTTAACAATGTGCACTTGGTGTTCATCATATCTAGTCAACGCTGGTTATTAGGCGGACATCGAGGATGTAATAAGGATCTTCTAGTGAATGTTATATTGCCTCCGAGGGTAAATATTTCCGTGCATATTCACGACAGCGGTCGACCAATTTAGATTGCATAATAGGAGCCTTTACTGCGTCAAATACACTTCCTCAAATTCCGGTCTCCTCCTTGTCATACAGGCTGGAGATCTTGGATTGCCGAGGACCAAACAGCCTTAGAGGATGTGCAGATGCAGGTGACAAATATGACAAAATGTCTGGAGGGACTTCCCAAAGAAACTGATCATCATTTAAACTTACACGCACATTTTACGCTGTCTTAGCCTAAAACTATGCGCAAGTAAGGCAAGGATTAATTAACGAAAATTATTTTTCAGTAACACAGTGTTTGCAGTGTGGAATGTCCAGCCTACTCACGTTTTGCTATCCTCCTGTGTGAACTCATTTTAGTGTAGATTCGACTCGTATCTTGCTTCCTACTTACCAGCTACTCACGTACTCGCATAACCTACAACCTAAATTGCATGTGTGTATGTCACTTATAATGAGCAAGCAACCGTTGATGATCAATACTTACCGACAAGAGGGCATCTGCCTGCCTTTTGAACCCAATTATGTACAAAATCTCTTTTTTCAACTTTCCATGTATCAGTGCTCTTTTCAAACGATTTGTAACGAACAAGGAGTGCGAAGGCGCTTGCCTGTGTTTCCCTTATTAAAACTGAACCAAACCGCATTAAGTCAGTGTTTGCATCCAGATGCCAAAGTTCTTTGTCATCTTCGTTATCACTTCCCCTACCTTTGCATCTACACCTTATCGAAAAACACCTTTTAACGTCGTTTTTCTACCAAACGCGCAATGATGCTCTTATGTAAAGGCGTAAACCTCCTAAAAAGGCTTCCATGCAAGGGCATGGAATTCTAGGTTCAGCCATGATTGTTATAAGCGCCGCCTCGGTATCAAGTAAATCAGTGGAGTAGTCCTCAACGTATGCTTATTGATGTCCAAAGGACGTACTATCTTAACCAAATGCACACTTACAAATTATCATCTCCTAACTGCAAACCCGCCATGAAAAACAACATTTTTGGTTTTTTTCCTCCATCTTAACTATTGTGACAGACTCCTACGATTTCAATCACATAAGTTGCAAGAACGTCATCACAAAATCACTAATTCTGCCATTGCAATTCCTTTTTTATTAACAAAATGTTTTTTTAAATAAAAAAACAGGGTTGGATTCCAATGGAAATTTAAAGCAGCTATGAGACACCGAGCAAAAACAACATGGGGCGTATATAGAACGAGATTCCTGCTATGTAAACCAACTGTCAGATATCATCTTTCATCTGTGCGGATGTTTTTAATCGGGAAATAAGCATGGTTTTAGACAGACGATGAGAACATGAATATAGCTGGCTGTTATAGAGTCACGGAAATATCATATCACTAGCAAACACCAGCATATCTAAAGGCATTGAATACTATCGTGACATCTACAGGTATCCGCCACTGGGACATATCTAGTCAATTATCTGCACACCCAAATACCGGAAACGGTGACAATTAGTGGCATATTGGCTGTAAAAATGCTACAAAAAACACCGGATCGTGATTATATGCTTACTTTCCAACTGTAGCATTTGTCTCAAGTAAGCATTGCTTGCCCGTTGGCGACGCATCTTATCCTCTATCGTGCTAGGACAGTGGATTCTAATATTGCATCTCGTATAGAATCATCCAACACTGAACTGTTGGACTGCTTAGTCCGTAATTTGATTGAGCAACCTGAATATAATTCGTCAGCTGTGGCCTTCGACGAAATCTTGCTTGGGAGTAAGTAACTGCAAAGTATCTTTTTTATAACTTCACATGAAGGCTTCCAAACAAGGGCTTGGAATTCAAGAGTAAGCCGTGTGGGCAAGTGTGCACTACACATTAAATTAATACTAGGTACACGTCCATAATGTTGATATAATGCAAGATCTTAGTTGAAACATGCCTGCCTCATGCTGCCTTGCTTTATTGGTAGGCGTTCAAACCTGCTACCTCGTTAGTGGTGATTTGATTGGTTCATGTTTCATTCCGAACATTGTTTTTAACGTCAATCAAGCCTATTTTGGTAACGTTATGTGCGTCAGTCAGACGAATTCAGAAAATGTATAAATATAGGAAACCTAGAAGCGTTTCACTTACACAAGAAGACTAGAAAGTAAGTTACAGCAGCATCATGCTCCGACATCTTCCCGCTCTTGGGTGATTGTATCGTGTGCATTTATATTATAATATTTCATTGCACTGACAGTAACTTTACCGCATTTTAGTGCCATTATTTACACTTGGCATTTTGTGCGCATTCTTCATTATAACATTTGGTAAGTACCTTGACAATATTAGATGTTCCTTAATAACTTGGTTCGCCATAATTTTCGAAAAAGAATCAATCGTGTGTACCTGAATGCTTGTTTGCCTATGCTAACTTCTAGGTAATTACGATAACACTTTCCATGTACAACCGAATGCAAACTTTACAGTCATGTGGCTTTCTGCAGGAAAGCCGACAGTGAGTCTCCATATTCATGCGATAAGCTGCCTTTGTCTAAAATTTTAAGCTTTTTAATTTTTAAAATTGTCATTTGGTATGGTGCTTTTGTAGTCAGTTATGCTAGGGAATATGTCAGTTCCGCAAGGCGACCGCTCAAATCCTTGCAAAGTTGGAGAATTCTGCTGGCAGTTGCTGAGTGGTAAGTATTTGCTCACAACAGGTCTTCCTTTCGATCAATTGTCATCCTATAACTCCCTCCTATTTGACACTTCTGATTGTTAAGATGAAGGTGACAAATTTAAAGCCTGCTATAAAAACATGCGTTTGCTTTTTAGATAAGCAATACTCATCGCTTCAGGCACAATCAGTGCCTGGAAATGGAAGTATTTTTTAACAGCAAATGATAGCCGTCATTCCACTTCTGAAATTTTCGTCAAAAGTATTAACGGATCTTCGCCAAGTAAATCCGATATGTTTATATAATATTTTGTATGCTATGCAGGTTACATTATACAATCATACTTTACTGATAATTTTTATTGTATAATTTAGGGCGGCATATGTCGGTATAAGCGTTTGCCAAGAACTAGACACCTAAAACTGTAGGCAGTTTGCTCAAGTGCGCTTGGAATGCATCCAGTGACTATCCATCGTATTTGAGTTCCCCAAGCGAATAAAAAAACAAAAACGGGTTTCGCATTCGAGCGCTGGCAATGGAATAACGACAATTATGACCGCGGTGACAGTTCGACCATCGGTTTCGATGATGGTTACCGTGTGCCCCACAGTTGCAGCAGCAATGGGATCAGGGACGGTGACTTACGCAGGGGTTTATAGTGCCGGTAGACTTGCGTAGCATCTACCTACACTCTCTCCTCCTCCCTCGCCCGAGCCAGGTGTCAAGACGGAGTCAAGAAGACCGGAGACGAAGGAGGCCGCAGATGAATGGCTCGGACGGATTCTCACCTTGGCGTTCCATCACACCGCCGGGTCCACACAACAAATGACCAGTATTTTAACCAGCACAACAGATATTGGAGGCTGGCACGACCGAAGCCGCACCTAGGCATGCCGCCAACGCGGTAGAAGCATTATTGCAGCATCAATGGCAGGCACGAGGGCAACAACTCTCAGGTCTGTTCATATAAGTGTGGGGTTGAAGGGTAGACTAAAAAAGATGGTATCGCCGATCCGAAAGAAAAAAGGGCGCATTAAATGTGCCACCAGACTGACGTCAGATACTTTCAAAAGATGCAAAAGGTCATAGGAACTTTCTGTATTATAAAGTACATTCTTACAAACGATTAAAATCGCCTAAGAATAAATGAGACTTTGTAACCTGGGATGGAAATATTCAAGATAGCGGAAGAACACCTTTCAAAACACGATTTTTGATTTTTATTCGCAAATATAAACGAAATTATTGCATATTTCGGGGAAGTTAAAAACATGTTTAACATGCAGATTCAACGTTCCCGGAAGAAGTGGGTTCACGTGGAGAGCTTCATATAGACATCAACAATCCAATTACGGTATACATAGTATATGATGCGGAGGTCTGGGTAAGCTATTTACTTTGCTCCTATGACTTAACAGTTACGACTACGTCTACTGTTGATTTCTTACCATATTCTGCTTTTCAGGACACAAAAACGAATGGGACAGTGCAGATCATAAATGAGACTTTAACTCACTTGATAGGCATTGGTTGATAGTCCCCTACCGTACGTCTGTATTTTTAAGCAATTCACTTTTTATGGCACTATACGAATGATAACTTGGTTGTTGCGTTCAAAATTTGCCAGATGTTTGACTGTTGATGCGATCGTTTATTTATAGGCTGTCATCCAATATACTGAGCAACATATAGTCCTGTTGGCATACAGTGAGTGAGCAATCTCATGAAATGTTGGCTGAAATTCTGGAATGCGTTTTCAATTAGGAAGGGTTACGTGGTCGCGGTTGTATTACTGATTATCTGACGGCCTTATCTTAAAGCATTTCGGACTCGGCAAGATGTCAGCTGTTGAGTACACTGCTTTCCAATCTCCTGTAGAAACCGTACTCGGCAAAAAAAATGACCACTCCAGGAGCATGCATTTTTCCCATTGATTTTCGAAGGTCTTGCAAATTCAAATCCATTTTATAGAAACCATAGACAAAAATAGGCTTTCTTTCAGTCTGTTATAGAGAATCACATCCTTTATATAATTTTTACTCAGGGAAGGCGTATTATGAGGTTTTAAAAATGTTTTCTAATTACTGAATTATTTGAAGCCTGATCATTCGTTGCATTATCGTTTAGTGATTGCAGTATAAAAAATGCATGCGTTCCGCGTAAAGAAAATCACACATTTTTCTATGTCATTAAAAAGTAAAATTTAAAGTAAAATTTATAGTTTGTTTGAATCTGTTTATTAAAACTCCCGAGGGTATTTGTTTCCTCTTAGTGTAAAAATCGCCTAGATGCTTCACTGGAGTCTGGGACATGTATTAGCATAAGAACCTGCACAAATATATTCTAACGTATATTTTTGCTAAAATTTTCTGATAGTATAGTTCATATAATTACGTAAACATAATTTCTGAACAAGAAAACGACATTTCATTTAAGGATGTGGGTGAGCGAACAAAATGCGCAACGTTAAAGGCGTCCTGATATTCTCCCATCACATTCCGTTAGCAGATTTCATGATATAGATCACGTACTGTATGGCCGACGCCCCAGGAAAATGAGGACTATGTACACATCTAAGATAGGCACTTAGAATAGGATAGGCCAAAACGGTCAGGTAGTTCAAATGGCTAATTATAACCGGTGCTTGCGACGAACTTACGATGATTTCGCCACGGATGCTCTTGGTGGCTGAGATGTGCGCTGTGCCCCGAGTGAAGTTTCATCGAGTCAAATCCTAATTTAACAAAAGACGATTAGAATATTTCTTTTACGTAAAATCGTTAGACGCCGTTTTAGAGAGCAGTGTTCTTTGTCGTTAATGAAAATGCTCGTGTACGAAGATAAGTTAGAAGGCACCAATCAACCCAACCGCATCATCAGAATAACGCCGCACAAAATAAAACCGCATCTTTTCGGCGCTGCAGTCAACTGCGTCAGAATCTTACCTAGATGCGAAATCACTACATCTCTCTTGATGTTAATAAAATCTGTATTTATAACCGTTGGAGTCCACCGATAAATTACATCACAGATCCGCAGTGGTTGGTTTGATAAAAACCCATCCGGCTAAGCGATTGCTGTTTTACAAACATGATTGTGCTGACAACTTTTTTAACCGCATCGTGTGCGACACATTTTCAAGATATCGCTATTCAGGGAATTTATTTCAGGTTGTCTTAAATACCCTAATTCTAGGCTTTCTGCCTGAATACTATTTTGTGGGGACTTTGAAGAAGAGCTTCGTTCTTCACCTACTGAAGGGGATTTGCACATATATCGCCAATGAAACAATCGTGTCTGGTGCACTCTGGGCTAATCCTACGGAGGCACTTGCGAAGACTCGCTTAATGCCACTGAAGGAATACCCTGATGATTCTTCACTGTCCTGTGGGACCGTGAGCAGATAGAAGTGGTTCAGAACACAATTAGGCAAACATGTGTGCTGGAACTCGGGAAAATACTGGTGACCATAAAAACCTTCTGAACACATTACCAAATTAAACATCAATTATTATCAACCGCATCTTCAAACCAAGGACGTAAAGTTCTTAGATCGCTGCCGAGGCTACAATCGGTTTTTCCGTTCTACCCGTTTTTATGAAGAAGCTTACGACTTCGTACACTGCTGAATTTATCAGATGTAACCTTCGCTGGTGGCTTGTAGTCTTCATAATTAATCGCAAAGTTTTCGCGGACAAACAGTATGGCAAACTCACCCTTTCCGAACAGGCAGCACTGCTCTATAATTTATACTATTTACATTGAACAGTATAAATCGATTTTGCGCTGATCAAAAAGTTACGTTACCTGCTTTACTGCCAGTACAGACCCCGCTCATGTCTCACTATCCGACACGCGGTGGGCTTTCGAGACACAGCATGACAAGAGTCAGGCATCCGCATTTCAGGCGAAACATGCATTGGCGCAGCGCTCGGCAAATTGACCTTGCACCGTCGGAAAGGTTGAAAACCAAAAATACGACAGCAAAAATTCGCATGCGAAGCCAAATCAAGAAGATACTGTTTTAGTTGCTGTCTTTGAAGCCCAATAAGATTGTGAGGGAATATAAGGCATTATAACTAGATAAATTACACAAAAGGATGAATACACGGGCTAACAGTTCCATACATTCGTAACGTTTCGCTAAATGTCAAAGTGACAGATTAGTAGGTTTCCTTAAAAAACTATTTCACACAAAGATTCGATTCGATTCATGCTTACTGGCATGATCTGTATTAGTCCCATCAATTGAACATGTACTTTAATCTGTCGTAATGTTAAGCGAGGCAGTATGTTTGAATAAAAGTTAAGTTGCTTTTATCGTGCGTTAACCCGTTCTATCCTTAAAAAAGTAGAATTTGGTAAATCTACAGCATACGCTACTTGTCTGTGGAGCATTTCTTTAGTCCGCAAGCGGGTTGGTGTGTAGGTCTTCCTTCTTTGCTGGGGATATAGTGTTCGTCAACCTTCTTTCCAGTTAAACTTTAATTCAATGGAATTTTTAGAATAATTTAGCATTAATAAATTCTCTCCATGTCGGTCTATTTATATGGCTATCTTGATTAACAGAGAAACGCGGGCAATTTGAAGTTATCCCGTAGGAGGGGTTGTAGTTTTTTTGGGGAAGGGGTACGTGAAATGAAAAACAAAAATAACGTCAGTGTCAGAAGAAAGGGAATGTAGTCACTAGGACGGGTAAAAATATGCAGGCGGCTGGCAGGTACTGTACGAAGTTCTTCTGTTCGCATTTGTTGAAAGAAATTACTTTTGGATGACAAAGTGCGCCTGAGAGAATTCGTCCAGCAGCGTATACGACACACTGCACATCTGCCGCATCACAAACGTGCGACCAAGTGTAGATGCTGTCAGAAAACGAATGAGGAGCATTCACGCTGTCATCTACGAGAAGATTGCTTTCTCTGCTGGTCTATAAGGGAAGGGTTCTATTTTGTGCCGCAGCTGCCGATCATCCGAAGAGCCAAACCTTCGTCCAACAACGCATGTGTTTACATGAACGAAACCAGTGCCAATTATTTTGTCCGACTCTGCCATAGATCGTAAGGGATTTTTCGGCAAAAATGATGACGCAGGAAGGTAGGAAATGTGGAAACTCAACAGGGTTTGCCTTCAAGATTATATGAGGTATCCCTGCAATGCTATCCGTAACGACAAAAGTGGACTCGTTCAAATCAAATCGGTGGTCTTCGGCACTTTCT